TTTGTACAATCTTATAAGTATAATTTACTAAATATAGGCAGTTGATTTATTTTTAAGTCTTATACTCCTATTTTGATAGTTTCTCTCCTTCCTCTTCCTCCTCCTTTTTCTTTCTTCTCACCCCCTTTCTTCAATATACTGATATTCTTAAAAGAAACAGAGAGAGAAAAAGAAAGAGAGAGAGGGGGGGGGGCTCGGGCTCACCTTCATCTTTGCAGGGCTTTGTGGAGGAACCCTACAGCATAGGAAAGCACTACCTCCCTTCATAAATATATCATGGTGAAAGAAAAAGAAATGTTGAGAAAATAAGATATTTTATCTTTTCTGTGATAAGTAAGTGTTCTAGATGCGGATCTTAAGCTCTGCACAGATTCCATCCTGGATGCTTTCGGGGTCTTGCAGCTTGGGAAGGGAATGTGTAGTGAGGTGAGCTCTATGGGTCGCCCTTAATCATATCTAGGTGTAGAAAGGTTTCTAAGTGCAAAAGGCTAATAAAAGAAAGCCTTGTGATATCCAGTGTGTCCCAATACAAAACCCCACCTTGTGTCAGAGGGTAGCATCACCACACTCCTGTCTGCAAACTTGCCTAAAAGGTGGGGCTGGGAGAGTTTCAGGAAGTGCAGCCAGGGTTTTAGGCTTCACGGGGTCTGTCCCTTGGCTTTTTTCATTCCTTAGGAACTGTGTCAGTTCACTTGCTCATTTCCTGTGCGGTGTGTGTGTGTGTGTGTGTGTGTGTGTGTGTGTGTGTGTTGAGGAGCAGGGGCAGTCTGTCCCTCTAATTATTTGTTTAGAATGGGGAGAAGTGAAAGGAAGGAAAAGGAAGGATGAGAAAGTAGATGAGAAAGAAAAAATGAGGGAGGATTGTAGGACACCTGTTTTTCTCTTCAAATAGCAGGCATTTCCTTAATGCCAAGGATTATTAAAATGATCACATCAAAATATCTTTGGAATATAGCAATATGATGTATGATGGTACATTGCACATTGTACATAGTACATTGTGCAATAATTAGCTTTTTAAAAAATGTGGTAAAAATATGATATAAAATTTAGGATCATAACCATTCTTTATTTTTTTACACATTGACATCCTTTATTGATAGTATGTAGCCATTATGCCAAAATTCAGCCATCAATTACAACTTCATTTCCCATCCACAATTAATGAGAATATATTTTACTTCAGATGGGACATATAGGCAGAGTGCCAAAAGTTAAAGTATAACCTTGAAGTCTTAAATTCACACTTCAAATATCAAAAGAAGCAATTCCCCAAAATCATGAAAACATGATGAAATAACATAAAAAAATACATTTAAGTCATTTCAATTTTTCTTGTTTATAGTGAAAACACATGTATTTATAACTTCAGACTTCAAAAAGCATACTTCATAAAGTCATTATTCATTTAAAATAGACAAATATTTACAAAGAACATTGAACTTACATTTCAAGGGTTGTTTATAAAATAGTACTTGAAAGGTTGACCTATATAAGGAAACCAGAGTCCTGTCAAGAGAGATGGTAAACTATAAATATAAAATATACCACAGTGTTAAAAACCTCACAGTATGCTATAGGAAAATTACTAAAGATAACTTCATCTTTCTAGGGTAAAATGTATTTAGCATTACAAATTCAAATGTAAATTTTATATATGAATTCAATAAGAAATACATTTAAACCTTGCATTGTCACATAATTATCATCTGTTTGTGTTAAACAATAAAAATGATGTACTTTTTGAACATGTGTACATCAAAGCCAAAAGTTTATTTTTTACTTTTTCCTTTACTGGCAACTTTGGATGCATTTTTAGGTTTTGGTTCCCAGAGGGCATTTTTCACAAATCTTGAAGCTTCACCTTGGTCTAGCTTGGCAGTCTTCTTCTCAGTTATTTCCTTGACTCTGTTCATGTATACTCTGATTCTTTCCAATTCCTGCTTTACTGGGTGTTCCTTCAGATTAACTCCCTGAGTTGCCAGATAAACCCAAAACACTGAATTTAATATGTAATCAGAAACTAAATCCACTTTTGCTTATTCAAGTGGGTCTAACTTCTGTAACAATTCATTTCCAGAAACAGACATCATGGTCTTCAGCATGTCATCCACAGCACCAATGGAATTCTCAAATGTTGGTAAATACTCATGGATTTCTGCTGGATAGTCTTCATTCATTTCTTCTTCTGCAATTATGACCAACTCACTGGCCTTCCACTCTGTCGTCTGGAAAGCAATCCACCATAACCATTCTTAAGTGTGCGATTCATTCAGTGACATTAACTGCATTCTCATTGTTGTGCAATCATCAACATTCATATTCAGAACTCTTAGTACTGACTTTTTAATAAAAATGATCTTGTTTTAAAGCAAGGCCCCGACACTCAGTAGAATCACTGGTGTCTGAGGCCTCAGTCTCTCTCCTCTGTAAATGGTATATTAAAAACAACAACAATCTGATAGGGTTGTTGTGAGATTAAATAATAATGTTGTAAAGTGCTTATCATAGTGACAAGTGACAGTATGCATTATTGTTATTATGGTTTCTTGAAATTCTAGCCACTTGTTACTTCATGAATGACATGATCCCAAACCTTTCTGAGCATAACCCAATCGCCCATAGATTCCCATCATCATCATCATCATCATCATCATCATCATCATCATCATTATTTTAGAACTGTCATTTCCTATAACAAAGAAGTTGGTCCAGAAAAAAAAGGTAGCTGCCAAGGCAATGAAAGAATGGTCTTTAGCACCCCTCTTTTGCAACACAAATTTCAACAACTATAGAGCACCAGGAGCTCTGGATCCACGAGGCAGGGCCTGGGGTGGGTCAGGATCTGGGCAGCCCATCCTGGGCATAGCTTTAGCAGCGTAGCCTCTATCCAAGAAGTCAGCCTCAAAGACTACAACTTCCCTGCGTGCACATCGCCTTCTTGTGACTTTTGTAGATCTGGCTAAACCAGTGGAATGGACAGTCCAGGAGGACACAACCTCCTTACTCCCCTAACTGGCTCCCACTCATGTCCAATTCTCCCCATCTCCCCCTGCCACCCCTTGCTTCATCTCCCCCTGCCACCCCTTGCTTCCTCACAATATATCTGAGCTCCATCTCATAGTCTGTCAGGCCTGCTGTGTAGGTAACTTTTTAAGGTGGGTTAAGTTTAAAAGGCTCCTGTAGGTACTCTAATTTACCTGTATTTCTAGAACCATTCTGACTTCCCATACATTATCCCATTCAGTTTTCAAATAGGACTCTTTCTCCTCTCCTCCCCCTTTTCTTCTTTCCTTCCTTTCTTCCCTAAAAGTTATAGTTCCTGATTATAAATATGATTCACTTTTAGTGTAGAAAATTTGGGAAATAAGAAAACAAAAATTATCTGTGATCTCATCACCCAGAGATAAAGACATTTCTATATATCTTCCAATACTGTACATGTATTTATGAACATATATTTCAAAAATTGGGTCATACTGTGCATACAATTTTTAGTTCTGTTTATTTCTCTTTCCACTCTCTTGTCAGCTTTTCTTATCATACCTACAAATAATAAGCTTTAGCATTTGTGACATATTATAATACTAGAGGCCTGGTGCATGAAATTCATGCAACGGGTAGAGTCCCTAGGCCTTGCCAGCGATCAGGGCTGATCTGTGGGGCGATTGGGGGAGGGGGCCTGCTGGGACCCACCTTGGCCAGCTTGGCACTGCCCACTCACTGGCCGGCCCTGCCCCCAATTGCCCTGCCTCCACTGCCGGTCGCTTCCCTCTCTGGGTCATCTGGTGGGGTGATTGGAGGGCCCCCACTGGCACCACTGGCACCCATCTTGGCTAGCCTGGGGCTGTGCAGGCTGGGGGCAGCTCCTGTGTTGAGTGTCTGCCTCCTGGTGATCAGTACACATCATAGCAACTGGTCATCCCACCAGTTGTTCCACCATTTGTTTAATTTGCATATTAGGCTTTTATTATATAGGATGTGGTTTTACCAAGTAACTTTTTGTAACATCTCCCCTATTTGGGACCATTCCCCATTTCCTAGCCCCACCACACTAGGCTAAGCTCTCCTTTCTCTGGTCTGGATCATCATAGAAATCTAGTAACTGGTTTAGCTTCAAGCTTCATTCTCCACCATCCACTCATTTAGGCCAAGTGAACTTTTTAAAATGCAAATCTAACCATGCAATTTAATTTCAGTGTCTACAGGACACCATGGTCTTCAAGACACAGTTTAGGCCCCTCGTCATTATAGAAGTCCTGCTTCACTGGGCCCCTTCTGATCTCTACAGACTCCTCTCTGGATCTGTCTGTCTCCTTTTCCACCCTCAGCTTCAGTCTTTCCATTCTTGGTTCTTTGAGCTTACTGTACTCTCTGGAATACTCTGCTTCCACTGCTCCCTATTCCCTTCTTTTGTTTTTTTTCTCAACAAACTGCTTATCTTTACAAAGTCCAGGCAACAATATCCTCTGCCCTCAACCTGCCACCATTTGGGTTCAGGTCTCCCAATCTGTTCTCCCCTTATTCTGTGAGCCTACTTTGAGCCTAGTGGGTATATCAGAATCACCTAGAAGGCTTGTTGAAACACAAATTATAAGAATCTACCTGCAGAGTTTCTGTTTCAGAAGGGATGGGGCAGGAATTTGCATTTCTATAAGTTCATAGGTGAAAATGATGTTGCTTGTTCAGGAAATAGATGTTAAGTCCCACTGCTGTAGCCTAATATACTGTATTATTAGTGATTTTATTTTTCTCCCCTCCTGACAGTAATTTCCATGAAACAGGGTCTGAACTGAACCCCAAGATCCTGGTCCATGGTGAGCAAATAATACAACTCCTGAATAGAGGAAGTCTTCCATGTGTCCTCCTGGCCCAGCAACCAAGTGGTAACAGTGACCGTAAAAGCCCGCTTCCTCTGTGGACTCCTCTGTGATAGATTCCTGAACCATGATGCAATAACAATTCCTACGCAATGTCATTGCTGACACTCTCCAGGAGTCATGGGTCTGAGTCCCTTGACCATATGTGGAATTTCCAGAAGATTTTGGAAATCTCCTCCTAAAGTCCCTTTCCTCAATAAATTTCCCATGGCCGATGCGTCAAAGAATAAAAATAATAAGGTATTGTTTTCCTGTAGCTAGATCATCTATTGTATAAACATCTCTCATTAACTTTGCTATTAGGAGCCACACAAAAAAATATACAGGAAACTACATGAGGTTTATCTTAAAATTTTGGTTAAAATTTTTGCATATGATAATTATTTGCATTTTTGGTAGCAGGTGAGGATCTACGTGTCAAGGAAAATATACTGTCATGGGAAATAAAAGCCTCCTTTAATGTGACCTAATGAAAGCTTTGCATGGAACAAATTCTGTTCTACTACCCCACTGACCACATCTGCCTCCATACAGATGGCATGTTGAATCTAAACCTAAACTGACAAAACTCAGGAAAATGAGTATTTTTGAACTTCCCATAAGCATATGAAGGCAGGAACCACAGTGGTGCTTCCCTAAAGTGTTCTGGTTTCAGTTTTACATGTTAGGCTTATAGATGTTAAGACAGTCTTTTAAAACGTGCTAATAATTTGTAAATTATCCATTTCTATTAAAAGTGCTAATGATTTCTATTGGAGTAGAAGATAAATTAACTCTTGTTTGTTCTATATTTTCAAAGACAATCATGACAGGAATTTCATTTTCATTAGGCAAGCGTGGACCAGACAGAATGGGAAGTTAACTTTACTTCCCAGTACTGAAGCAGATGGAGCAAGGCTGGAGAAGTGATCCAATTCCCCCAGTTTTATCCCATTTCTCATAATTTCTTTGCAATTGTTGACCAACTCTGTTTTTTTTTCTTTTCTCGTTAACCGATAATCATCAGGGCATAAGTTATTTAGCACACGAACTCAGATGTAGGGAGCTGAACTCAAAAGTGACAATTCACAGTTACATACCACATGGATAATCAACAATTAGCTAGAAGACTTATAGATATTTAATAAGCAAAAAATAAAGATAGCCAACACTAACAAATTTTAACTAATTTCCATCTATAAATAATAAGAAGAATGGGGATGAAGCAGGTCTTTCCCCGCCCCCCCTCTCCTAAAACAGAAGGAGGACAAGATTTACTTTGAATAATTCAAGTGGCTCTTTCTTGAGTTTTAGCCTCTTACTTAAGCATGTGTCGTAATTCAATAACTAGTAAGTAAAAACTCAGGAGTTCTTTCTTGTCACTCTAGCTGAAGGGGATATCCTAAGTCTCATCAGCATTAGTCAACCTGAGCTGGAATTCAGAGAACCTAAAAAGCTGTACATAGAAACACACACATATACAAAATGTTGTGTAGTGAGAGGTGGCTAAAATTACAGAATGATAAAAATGATTCATTTGGCTCATTTAAAATTTAAAAATGTTTTTCTAGGTAAAGTGACAACACCATTTATTTGAAATGTTAATGATTTGATCTTATATATTAATTTGCCAGAATACACAAGTAATAGAAAATATCAAGAACTTACCTAGGGTATAATTATGGCAGTGTTTTCTTTATATTTCACTATGTTCTTAAAAGGAATTCTGTGATTACTTTTACTCACTAATGTGTCTCTTTCTTTTATCAATCTTACCCAATAATAGACAAACATGTAAATTGACCATCCCTCCACTACACTCACCAGCCAATCAGGAGAGTATGCAAATTAACCCAACAAAGATGGCGGTTAATTTGCATACATACACACGAAGCGGCAGAGCGAAGACTGAAGGCTCTGGCCGAAGTGGAGGCCTGGGTCCCAGGTGCCTGAGGAAAACAGGTGCCGGCAGCCAGGGGAAGGGAAGGCATATTGCATGAATCTCAACGGGCCTCTAGTTGAATTAATATTTATTAAATGGCAATAAATGCCAGGCATGGTGTTAGGTACAAGTGAATTTTTGTTAACATTTATTAATGCTACCCACTAAAATTTTTAATAAGACATGTCTAAATACTGAGTTGAAGATATTTGTGATATCAATATTATTTTAAACACAGCCTCAAAAAATACCTTGAAGTATAATATATTAGTTCAGCCTGGAAGTTATAACAAATTATAATATACTAGAGGCCTGATGCACAAAATTTGTGCAAGGGGTTCAGCCCTCACAGCCCCAGCTTTGTCCAGAAGGTCGTCTGGAAGGATGTTCAGCTGTCCAGCCTAATTAGCATATTATGCTTTTATTATTATAGATTTCCTTTATTGCACAAATAAAAGCAAACAATGTTATCATTATAACAAACTCTGACCAATATCCAAAGTGGGGAAGAGAGTGGGGAGAGTAGAGAATGCTCATACTGTGCTTCAGTTTAGCTTTAGTTATTGCCCAATCATATACTAACATCTCATTGTTTATGCTGCTTAGTACAGAAGGAGTAAACCTATAAATACTGGGTTTAAAATAGGCAAGTCAGGCCCGACAGAACTCTAAACAACTCTAAAGGGTTTTGATCACTATGCAGCTCTTTCGTGGATTTAATTTTTCCCTGGTCCTCTCCTCCCTCTACTAGTGATTGATCCAAATAGTATTGGTATATCACCAGGTTGTAATTAGTGTTTGAAGGAGAAAGAATAGCTCACTCTAATGTTTGCTGCCTTTCAATCCATGAGTTATAACCTTTAACAATACATACAGGTAACTTGGAGGTTGAATAAATAAAGACATGAACACAGGTATTAGGTTGCATGCTTCCATACCTCCAAGCACCAGGTTGGAGTACCTTGGTCTTCAGAGTAATACAGCATAATGTCAGATTGTACAAGAAGCCATGGGATTGAGATGGGTATCTCCCTGGAACATCAGTTTTAATGGGAATAAAGCAAATTAAAATATTACTTTTATGATGCATTGAACTAATGAAGGAAAAATTAAGTAAAAAAATGTTGCTTGTATTTTTCAGTTAAAACAAAAGCTTTCCAGAGAATTTCACACTTATGTGGGCCATTGGGCTTCTACTGCTGGTCCCAAATCCCTAGGCTCCATATGTACTCTCCTATGCCACCGGAGGTACTTTAGTTGCAAGACTGAGAGGTGCTGTGATTTCCTACTGACTCCTACTCAACCCATCAGCTCTGCTGTGTTAAACAATTTGTTGTAATTTGTGTGTGTGTGTGTGTGTTTCTTTCTCTTATCTGATTGGTCTTTCTGTGCCCAACACATGGCTTAGTGGATTGCAAACAGACTAAGAATCATTAATTCCAGGACTGATGTTCCTTTATGAATATTCATATAGAGAGTTAATTCTGTTCAAAATTGTAGAGAAGTCTGCTATCAAAGTTCCCAAACCACTCCAATTCTATGCTCTACTTCTTACACCCAGGATCCTCATTTTATTTCTTTTTTTCTTCTTTTTCAAAACCTCATTTTTTATTTGTCTTCCACAATTTGACATGAATGATTAATAAAACTTTAAGTGTCCTCCCTAGTAAAAATAAAAGACGTGTGTTTGAACAGGGAACAAATCCTTTAAGTAAAGGGAATTGTAGATGTCTGACAGTGGGTGGGAAGAAATTATTTTTGTCATTGGGCATTCCCAGTTCTTCTAAAGGGACATAAATAATCTTATGCTGGATCATATGAGTCATACTGAACTCACTTTTTTATGAAAAGGTGATTTCCAAAGTCCAAAACAGCTGTCAGCACCAGATGACATTACTAAGTGCAGAATCCATTGGGATTCATTATATGAATTTAAATCTTTGGCAGATAAACTTCTATTCTATGAAATTAAAAAGAAAAACATTTGATCCTGATGGATTTCCCTTCCCTCATCTATTAAATGAGAATCTTGGGCAGTTATACCAGAGAATATTTAACAGTATATTTTTTACAAGCTAGGAGGTTTCCTTAATGCATTCCATGTAGTAAGTCATTTATTCTTCACAATGGCCTTCAGAAGTTGGTAGTACTATTATGCTCAATTTGCCCTCAGATGAGAACACTGAAGCATTGTCCAAGGTCCCATAGGTCTAAGCAACTGAGCAAGTTTCAAAGTCTGATATCGAATTCTAGAGCCTGCCCTCTTATTCACGTACTATGAGCTACAAATCTCTTCTAGGACTAAGAATCTACAAATCTCTTTCATTCACTCATGATGCCCATCTGATAAAAGAGCATTAGCCCATGAAGCATCATAATAAAGAAACTGCACAGTAGACAACACCTGCATAATCAAGAAATTATGAAGATAATTGTGTGTGCCCTGTTTGTCCAAGTTCCTCAGCATTATAATAATTGAGACAGACTTATCTAAACCTTTTTGCTTCCAGAATATTTTAAAGTTCTATGGCGTTTGTATTCTGGAATAAGGAGATCACTTATAAGGCATTGTTAATGTTGACAATTATTTTTTCTGCATTTGCTGATAATGCCAGCAGATTGGGTAAATTTATCATATGTAATCCCAGTGTGCATAAGAATTAGGAATTACTGGGCTACTCAAGGGCATATCTAGGATTTGTCTTAGAAGTCACAAAGTTTACTTTCTACATTATAGACTATATTTTTATTTTATTGTGCTTTTTTTCAGAGCCTAAAATGAAGATACAATTCAAGGAATTAGAAATATTTGGGTGTATTTTTCATGAATAAGGGATTTCTACTTACAAAGTGGGACAAAGGCTCTAAATATTAAATTTATTTGAAGACTTCCCTAAAGAATCCTTATGTAGTAACCTAAGTTGGATTTAGGTCTGTATATTATGGACTGATCTAAACAAATACATTTCTCTTTATTTCCTTTTCATTGAGAGATTTGGGTTATTTTTTCATAATGAAACATTTATAGAGCTCTCAACTATTAAAATGATATCATTACATGCTCCCCAGACCAGATTAACCTCAGATAATGTAGTCTGACCTACAATATTAAAGGCTGTACATTAAACCTACTAAATGATTTTGGTCAATTTCTCCTTTTTTTAAAGAACTTTTCAGGTAGTCTAAACTGGCCAGGATGTCAGGGAACTGGTTTCTGGCACATCCTGAGTTTCTTGAGAAAATTACTCAATCCCTTTGAGCATAAGACTCTCCATCTAGTGAACTAGGAGTTGGTCATCATTATCATTTCTTTCTGAAG